TTTATTAGTATAAATTAATTTGTTATTGTATTTGAATCTCCTAAGTAAATAAAAGTTTGTATCAAATATATAATTGTCATACTACTGAAAATTCTTTCATTTGAATAATTTTATCTACTTACTGATTCGAACACAGAAGGTTTTACTATATTTTTAATTATTAATCATTAAACGGCGCAACTTTAATCATTTAAAATTATTAAAAAATAAAATGTAGAACTTTTCTAGTTTGAAGCAATTATGTACATAATATGTACTCGTACGTATTAATAAATCCACAAAGTTGTGTCATGTGGAAAACATTATGATTGCTGTACAATTAGCATCACATTGTGACTCTGTTTACTCTTCAATAAACATATAAACCACTTGACAACTATGATCATCTTAAAACAGAATGAATAAACCTACTTCATGCGTTGCAAAAACGTGAAATGTTGTAATTGCATTGATTACTTCAAATATTTCTCCAACGTTTCTCTTTCATATATTGTAATGATAGTCCACAAGCATTAGAAATTACTACAAATGTCGTCAAACAGAAATTCTGTTAAGTGGTAAACGTGTTTAATAGAGAAGAGCAAACATGAAATCACATGTTTTTTAAAAGAATCGAAGAATTCTTGTACTAACAACTATGCTGAGCACTACGGAACCAACACGCACATTCTATTTTAACCTTCACCTAGCTGACATCGTACCACTTTGACCCGCCATAAACAATGACAGACACGGAATTTCTGAAGACTGTAATAATCAATATTCAGTAAATTAGTAAAATCAGCTGGTAAAGCTATACAATGAAATAAACAATGCATATGTATGTATAGATACATTTTAGATTCATCCTCCTTTATCTGTATAAGAAAGTTTATAAAATAACATTTAGTAGCGTAAAAACAAATTTTGGAATGCTTATAATTCATGTTGGTAACAATAACTGATTATTAAAAAATTAACAACAATAGGCAATTATAAGTTACTTTACACAATTTTTAGAATTTATAAACAAAATTACAATCTGCCTTATTTTTATGTGATATTTCTTGATGATAAAAAAGTTTAAATTTATAAATTCTACAACATAGTTGCATATAAAATAAAATATTAGTTATTTTAGAATCAACAGGAGATTAATTTATGAATCATCATGTACTTCACAGTAAATGATTAGACTGTGAAATTTAAAAAGCATTTCACAATTTCTTTTTTAACGTTTTGTTATTTTGATGTAATAAATGTTCACATTTTACTCCATTAAAAACGCAATATTTAAATATCCTCCTTGTTTTTGATGATATAAGAAAATGGTTACTACAGAAGTGGAATAATTTCCAAGTAGAATGTACATGAACAAATATATTTTCCAGGATATCTATTCGAAGTAATCAAGCTTATTCACATTTCTTTACGAAAAGGTATACGTTTATCTGTTTGTGATTCGTATAAAAATGCATTTAAACATGCTTTGACAATAGTTTGATAAAAATACATTTAAGCATGCTTTGACAGTAGTTTGATAAAAATGCCAGCAGTCTATCACCCGGGAGATATGATGAATCAAATAATCACAGCTTGTGCCGTTCCTAGTCAAGATACAATTAAAAAAACATTACAATCTGTGAATGTATGTTTTAAGTAATACCGTAGCTGATAATAATCACTTTGAACATTTATCATAAGTAGTAGACTTACTTTTTTAATATTATTTTAAAAACTAACACATATGATTATTTGTTCGCTGCGCAAGGTCATTATAAAGTTACAACTCAAATACATCTGAATATTTTAACGTCCTGAAATTTCAAAAAAGTATAACTGTGGATAAAAAGTTTTTAATTGATGTTTATCCTCCGAATCCACTCAAATTTTACCTTAAATATGCATCTCTGTGCAAGCCCAGCTTTGTTAAACACGACACGTATTATATGTCTCTATGTAAACATCGCTTAAGTCAATTGGTTTAAGCTAATTACTCTGGAATGTTGAATTCAAGGTATACAGTTCAATTAAACACTCAGCTTTATGATACTGTGAATGGCACTGTATTTCATTATATAATAAAACAGTACTTTTTTATAACTTTTTAAATATTGCGAAAATAAATACGTGAAAGGAAAGATCAGAGAATTAATGTATCAATTCAGAGCTATTAAATTATACAATATTCATTTCGATGATTTAGAAGGGAATTTCTGTAATTTGAAAGTTTCAATTTTTTGTTAATTCAACATGAAGTCGTGTTTTAAATATTAATGTGTGAGATGTATTTTCTATTTCATTGACATAAATATACTAAAAAAAGTTTTTCATTCAAATAAAAATACTCTTTCCACCACTTTTACATTAATATAAATTTTGCAAAATTTTGTATATTATTAAAATTCATTAAATATCCGTCCTAACATTTCTCTGCTGTATTTTTTAAAGCGTAAATTACTTTCGACAGAAAAGACGATAGTGGTTTATACTAAGTACAAAATAAACTTTTTATTGGATGTTAGAGATAATGGACAAGTATCATTTCCTGTTATTTAATTTAATTTTTATCTAGATGGTTATTGTGTGTTTTTACTCGAACTTTTTACCTAAATTAAAATTGGTTTTAAAATCTACTTACGTGCACTTCAAATGTATTTTTTACAATTCTGCACATAGAATATCTCTATTCTCCGTTCAGGGAACAGAATATCTCTGTTCATAACATATAATGAGGAAATAGCGTAGTTGTTGCCAAAAAAGGGCGATCAATTTTAAAGTGGAGATACTAGCATGCCTTTTATACATTTTATCATATTTTATCTCAGTAGCGCTTATTCATCGTTATGTTATTTTTATAATGTTGAATCAGTACTTCTATTTTAACCTATCTTATGCAACATAATACTAACTACATTCACTAGTTTTCCTTAAATTATTACAGTAATTTTTAATCAATGATAAAAATAAACAAATGTAAGGGATTTACTTAAACGTATATGTGTTTCCCAATTCATCTTAATTTTTTTCTAAAGTAACATTAATAATTAATACATAATATTACAACATTTTTTGAAACTTTAATTTTATAAGTAAATTAATTGCATCAGGTTTCACAAGGAGTGGTATAAGAAAATTTGAAGCAAATTCTGTTTTCTTCTATCAGAACTACTTAAACATTAAAAAACTTGTTTAAGTTTCTAAATCGAAAGTGAACCATATTTATGTAACGTCAAATATATTAGTGATATATTATACAAACACCATGTTATGTGGGTACCGTTTAAAAGCTTAATTGTCGCGTCCTATTCAGAGTTGGTATTTAGGCCATTCTTATTAACATAGTAAATGGTTTTTTCACGATAATTAATGCCCACTTGACATCATTATGGGGATCAAACGCAAACACGACACAACTTTCGTATTCCTAGTGCCAATATGTCGTTATAAATTCATATGAAGATTAGTAAAAGTAAAATATAGAAACTGTTATCCAATAATTATGAAATTAATTTCAAAATTAAAGTTGAAACAAATTAAAAATAAAATCAACCTAAAAGCATTTTAATTTAAAACTATATTATTTCCACTTTAAACTTCAATCGTGACGAAACAATTGTATTCGAAATGTGTACATACTATCGAAATGCAAATACAGAGAACTTTTTAGTTTTTCATCGTCTAATGACGTTGAATTGTGTAACCATGTAAGTTAGTCAGGTGTCTGCCTACGTGCATTAACCATTCTAATACGTTCGACGTTAGAAACTGAACGTTAGATCTTTTTGTACAACGAATTATGCCACGTTTTACTATCGGATCAATAGCTCGTTTTCTCTAAGCGTGTACGATGGCTTAGCTAGGCAATCCTTATTCTACTGATGTTAGTACTGATAACTTCGATTTTACGATACTCGACGCAGCGATCGAAGTGGGAAGTTGAGGTTATTTGCGGTCGGTTGTCAAGGTCTTCTTCTTACATAATACGTTCATGCCAATGCAAGTATTCTGGCTTGTGGCAGCAATAATAATTATTACGCACTGCACCAACAGTGAAAACAACTTGAAATTTCAGAATTTTTGCGACAGGATTCCTAGCAATTAATGCCAACTACGTATTTAGCCAATTTGTATCAATTTCATGCTTTGAAACACGCGCAAGGATACAATAGAAGTTTCAATATTAAACCCAATTTATCTGTTGAACAATATTCATCACTGTCATCTTTTGTTATCTTTTCACTCAATTCCAGTATATTGAATTTCTTGATAAATAAGGTGGTCGAACAAACCAATATTAAAAATCCAGTATTGAAAGCGATAACTTTATTATCGGTTACTTCTCATTCATTGCTTAGACACTACAACATGTACTGTTGACGATCGTTGACGATTAATGAAACTGTATTTCAAGCTAAACCACAAGTTCATTTCCGATGTTCGAATAAAAATGTACATGTTGAAATATTCCTCTTATCACCTTTTACTATATAAAGAACGAAAAGTGGACAAGCATTAACAACTAATAAATATTAAGATGGAACGGTTTCTTAACTAAGACCTCTCTTCAATTCCATGCAATTATGAAAGCATACGTAGGATGTTTCAGAGAAATATTCAATACAAAAATAACTCTTCATTCAAAAAATCGCTTATACGAATGACAATACGAATCTAACCGTTATTAACACTAGATTTACGAAACTCGCCAATCTGTCGAATAATAAATTTCACAAACATTTAAATAATAAAAGTTCATGTCGAATTTAATTGATGAAATTATACGAATATATATCCTAATTCTCTTCAAGATCAATATAAATAAACACCTATTTTTCTAGGAACAATAAAATAATATATCCAACAAATATTTGTAAACGTAGTGTTAGCATTAATCACATGTTTAACCGTTTTCCGCTCTTTCAACTATTTCTAACTTCGCAACATGTTTACACTACATCTCAAGACATTACTAGAAACGAAATTCGTCCACATGAAACGTAATTTAAACGGCAACATACCTGGTTCTTTCACAGTCCACTAAATGTCCTCTGCCGGATTCCAAGCCGCCCCCAGTAAACGGAGTGTCAGTGTACAAACAAACGTGTCCACCATACGTAACTCGTGATTCAAGACCCGACCGAATCGAACTGAATGGAATTTGACGATCGCGCGCGTTCTGCGGCTTCTCGGTCGGCGTTTCGATGCTTCTTGCGACGCTGGTATCTTTTCAAGGACGGTATAACGGTGCCAAAAGCGTAAATGACACACTAAGCCGGTTATGGTCGGCCACTATGCTTTCCCTAGTCATTAGCGATATTCCTTGAACGTCTTGATAACGCAGAATCGTAGAACCCGAAACACGCGAAGTCGCGGCGACACTGTGTACAGTTCCGTTGAAGCGGATAATTTAGAAAGACTACGCGTGCCCAAGTTATGGACGATGCTAGGAAACCGACTGCCTCAGTGAGAGATCACGGAGAACAAGGCAGTTGCGTGTATCGGTCTAGCTTGCCGTCGGTATTTGGTACCAATGTATACATAAGTACCTCCTCCGCGTTAGTATGTAGATATATGTGGCTACCACCGTGTTCAGAATCGCGTGAGAGTGGGGCGTCTGCGCTCTCTCGTGGGCGACCTTTATTTGCATTGAAATTAGTGCGCGGGCGTATGTATGTCCGCCGTCGCTTCCTACTTTTCTTTCACTTTTTTTTATTTATTTCTATATGCTCCTTTCTTTTTCGTTTATTTGTTTGGAGACATTCCGGGGAATATTGCAGGAATATTGCTATTTAACACATTTTGAGAAATTTTCTTTTTATGTATTTTCGTAGATTGATGCTTTGGTACCAATATCGAGTAAATTTAATAAAAGAATTTGAAGAATTGACGAATGAATAGTTTCAGTGCAACTGATTTTCTTCCATATGTTTTCATAGGTTTGACGTTTCGAAGAAATATTTGAAATATTTTGAAGGAAGTGTAACGGTGAAATTCGAAGAATTGATGAAGTTAATATTTTCAACGGAATGATAGGTATGTCTGTTCGACTAAAATTTCTGACGTATTTTTCTGCATACTGCTATCCTCTTTATAGTGGACTTCGGCCAGAACTTAAGTTCCACTAATTATTTGCATATTATGCATATCGATTTCTAATAAGACTTCGTATCTTTTAACTCAGCATTTAATTGATTTGATTATTCGGTTTTGTCATAACGGAATAAAATACATTTCATCTTAAGGTAATTTATTTACGATCATTTTTTTTATTTTTCGTAATTTTAAGAAGTGTTTGAAAAATGTACATTAAAAGTTTTTAACAGCTTCAGTAAAAAATGCTTTACTAATGTATATTCTATAAAGTCATCACGTATTTTTAGTAAAGTCTTATAATTATTTTATACTAGGGGTAAATTTGTGTATGGTAACATTTTAATATTAAGCAAATAAATATATACATTGTTTTTAAAAATGAGCATAACATTTTCATTTTAATAACAACGCAAACATATAATTTAACAAAATTAATTGCGAAATTTCTATAAAATCACGAATATTTCACGTACATAACAAAATTTAACAATAGCTTTTAGTTTATTCATAAATTAATAGGTTCTGTAACCACTGTTTTTATGAATGACACTAAAAATACGGTTTGACATTGACAATATTAAATTTCGTAGTGTATCTGCTTTAATACTTTTCCACGAATCGTTCGCTACGTTCCATAATTTAATGACAGACTTGTATTGTCTACTGTTGCTGTAAACTTTTTTGGCAATGATCCCCCAAAGATTTTCTATGCGGTTCAAATTAATAGAATAAGTAGGTCACGATAAAACTTTGTATGTAACCATTGTTTTGTATACTTTGATGTGTTCCTACGCGAAACTATAATTTTCCGACGATATGTTTAATAACTTTATATCTTTTGCTGCTTTATTTCTCGGGCAGGATTTCAAGTATATTAATTTCTTACAATCATTGCTACGTGGGTTATCATGGCTATCCGAGCGGAATTGATTTGAAAAAGCTGGTCAATCTTTATAAGCACCAGAAAGTGTAGGTAAATTTATCTTTGGTAGGGTTATTTCGCTTTTTATTGCTTCTATGTGAAACTGTTGCAAATTTGAGACATCAAAAGCTCTGCTTGATAATCTAGCTGTATCTAAGTCGTTGCAAATGCTGCATATCCTACCTCTAATTCCTCAAACCACAGTTTCAGAACGTCTGTGTCTGAAAATTCAGCTTTGAAATGATCTGAAAGCGATTTAAAATTCTCTAGTTCTAATTCAAAGGCTGCGCATCTGCTTTTCAGTGTTCTGATGCGTTCTTCGTGGCTTAGAGGCTTTATGAATTATAAAATAAAAACACGAAATAGAGACAGATTACGGATAGATGGAATTTGTGATTTGAAGGAGATGACTCAAAAACAAGTATACACACTTACGTTGTCAGCTATGGAGTAAACTGGCCCGATGTGACCTCTGGGCACTTGAAGGACCTCACGACTGATTGTTGTCGATTTCGTTTTCCACTGTTGATGATGATAATGATGTAATATTTCGGACGTAGCACTTTTGACGATACCGACTTTGAATTGTTTGGAAGAGATTGCACTTCCTGTGAGGCTGACTTTCATTGCGATATCGATGATGAATTAAGGCTTCCTCACGTTTGAATCCGGCTCGAAGGACCAAAATATTGTGTATCTACGGCGTGGCTCCCGAGTTCTCACGTTTTTTTTTGTCTAACACTAAAACTATCAGATGGGTCAAAATAATCCATTCCTGATTTCTTCTTTTTGATACGATTGAAAAGGTGACAGATACATCTCTGAGAAATTATTAAAGAAATTGATTTAGCAATACGTAAACTGAATTTTACATCAATTAAAGTCTCAATAGATGCACTCTCGGAGTTTCTATAGAGGAATTTCGAAAAGTCAATTTAACTGTTCGATAGTTTTAGTGTTAAAAACTTCATGACAGCTGCGGTTCGTTGGGAGAGTAATAACGCGGAACCGATTTGAAAGAATACTTTTTTATAAAATTGGTAGACTCTGGTATTTATGTATAATAATTTAATAACAAAAAAATATGCAAAACGGAAGCTGGCGTGGAAAGATGCTTGTGTTTCCAGATCAACAGTCATAATTATATTCGAGATATCGTATAATTGCGATATCTCGTCTTTTTTACTTCGGCTGTCTTAAATGTACACGAGATGTAGAGTGCTAAGTGGTGGGAAACAGAATAGTGATGGTAATTCAAAGGTAGTGTTTTCCAAGGATTGTAAAAGGAGGTTCGTTTGTTTCCTCAAGCGACGAAGTCCACAACCCTCGTGCTTAACACTAGAACTACGGTGACAATTAAAATGACTGGTTTCGGTTTCTTGTTTCGCAATTATCGATACTTTAAAAACATTGACTATTCGAAATGATTTCGAAAATAAATATTTTCACTTGAATACTATACCGAGTATTCGAAAAAACTGAAAATAATTTATCATTACATATCAATTGTATTAAATGCTCGGTAGTTCTAGTGTTAATGGAGCGACCGTTACGCAGGATCATTCGTCATTGCGACTTTCGCCCTACGGTAGGTCACAATAATCCTAAATATCATAATTTTTAATAGATATTCTGATTTGATGTAAATTTGATGTAATGTAAAACCTGAATCACTCGTATTTGGGGTTTCGTAATAATTTCACAACAGGAACGCCCGATCCTCGATTTACGCGGATTTTTTTACGCGGTAAATCTACGCGATTTACACTATTTACGCGATAGATTTTATGCACGATCTGAAATTAGTAACACCGACTGAAATGTATGTGAAATAAATACGTATTTCTAAAACTTATACCAGCTTCTCTTTCCGATATTTTGTTTTTTCTTGTACCGATAGGTTCTATTTACGCGATTTTCATTCACGTAAAACGAATTCACGTGGAACTGATTTTCGCATAAATCAAAGGTCAGGTGTACAACGTTCATTTTATATCAATTTATATTAACTTAAAATCAATTCATGTTAAGATTGGAACTGTAATATGATTATGAAGATTTTCTTTCTTTCGCTGTTTGGAATTTTCCCTCTCACTCTTTCACCCCTCCTCCCCTCTCTCACTCATTTTCGAGATCTGAATTATACACACATTCAGTCTACTTAATTCACATTATACTGTTATAAAAGCAGGGATAGCTCTTATCATTCAGTTTATCGGAAGTCGATGTTCACACATACATCTCTCATGTATTAATGTAACTACGACATAATTCAAACGTGATGACAAATCGCAATCGTAATTGATAATTGCAATAAAAAATACATTAAAAGTATGTAAAGTATTTTCAAAATGAATAATGGAAATTTTACAGCTATAATTATCTGTTACCTTCCTATCACACAAAATTGCACCAATATAGTAATTTAGTCACTTCATCATATATTTAAATGATAATGCGTTTCCTTTCAGTGTATTGAAGATAATAAGCTGATAAAATATTAATTTTATGCTCTGTATTATTGTTTTATCTCAAAGCATATAAAATTCATTTAGTGAACAATTCTTCCCATTAAACAGAATTTTATTCAAACCCTTTATTAATCGTTAATTACAATTGTTAAATGTTACTTCTCGATGTGCCATTGTCAGTTACTTATCACTTCAATTGTCATTCTTAAGAGAATTTTTTACGTATGTAAATATATATAATACTTCAAAAATTTTGTGAATAATATTCAAAAAAATAATGAGTTTAGATATTCTTTTGCGTGGCGCGGTCTAAGCACGGTGACAACCCTCAAAACATTTAACGCGTTTCTTTTGAAACTGAATTTCTCGAATTAAGCTTTACCCGTCGAGCTTAAACTTTATATGTGATTTTCCGATTTCCAGAAGTATATAAGAACAAAAGATGATAGAAAAATTAAACTTCGAGTTCGAAGGATTGCCATTTTTTCAGTTTTCAATATATTTCTTTCTTTTTGGTACTTGCGATATTAGATTTTTTGTTCAGAATAAGCAGAACAGCTCAAAGTATAAACTTAATCATTGTAATTATAATCATATACTAAACTACAAGTTTTGGGGATAGAGGTACAATTTCTATAATTTTAACATGCAATAATACACAATTTTTTTGCCAGAAATTCAAACACTTCACAAACTGAAAACTTTGTACCTATAATTAATTTGTAACAATCGAGTAAATAGTTCAATGTGGAAAAACTTTCGAAAAACTTTCAAATTATTGGAATCAATTGTTTCAAACGTAATTCATATTTTGTTTAATCGATAAGTTATATTTGCTTTGATTGTGTTTATATTTGCATCTTTACTATGAAGATCGTTTGTATCATATGTGAGACAAGAAGTTATAAAAACTTTAAAATATGCTTCGTGCATATCATGCTTAAATTTTGTTACGATTCTCTTTTTTCATTGCTGTTTCAATATGTTTATATACACGCGATTAAGTAAATACGAAGGTTTAATAAATATGTCATCCAATATTATTAATTTTAAAAAAATTTCGCCCAATTTAA